CCCCGGGATCACGACCCGAGCCGAAGGCAGACACTTAACGACGGAGCCACCCAGGCGCCCCAATCAATACATAATCTTGTTTCATGTGTATTTATGTTGAAAGACACCTTATTTAGTATTATTGTTGGTTCATTCACATTGAACTCCCAACAGCACTATAACTCATGCCTGAACAAAACTTATCTAACACACGTTTTCCTCATAAAGCACATCATCACCTTGCACTAAGCACTATGCCTGGTAGCCATCCTGAACAGCAAAATCACCAGGGCTCCTGGGTGGCATAGTCGGTTGAGCCGTCTTGACTCTTGGTTTTGGCTCAGGTCATGATCTCGAGGTCATGGGATCGAGCCCTGCATTGGGCTCCGTATGGGGTCTGCTTGGGATTCTCTTCTTCCCTCTGCTACTCCTCCCCTTCCCCTCTCTCGCTCGCTCTCTGTCTCTCAAATAAATAAATAAATATTTTAAAATAAATAAATACTTAAAGATATTAAAAGCAAAGACTCTCCTCAGTCCTCACTACATCCCACTCTGCCGCTCCCTCCTCAATCCAAGCAACCTCCTCCCATCCCCTAACGCCTCAGCTACCTATAGCCAGGCCACCAGCAAGCCAAGCCCGTCTACTCCACTCCACAAGCAGGGCTGGCTTCCTGAGCATTCAGCCCATGCAGCCACACAGGGCCCGGCACCTGGTCTAATATTCTGCTGTCACTCGCTAAAACTTACTAATTTGTGAATAAGGGATCCCATGTTTCATTTTATATTGGTTTCATTTTGTACCAGTTATGTAGCTGGTCCTATCCATGACAACACACCCCAAATCTGCCTCTGTCCTCTCCTTTCTGGTCTAAGTCGCTGTCCACACCTCCAGGATGACCACTGTAACCTGCTGAATCTCCCTGCTCACATAATGGCCCTCCTCCCATCACAACATCACACGCTGCCAGTCTTTACAGACCACAAGAGTGATGCAGCACTTACCTCCTGCTAAATATTCTTGCTCTTCCCCAAGCCCTTAACTGGCCCAAAAGGCCCTGGGTGGCCTGGTACCTACCTCCCTTATCTTATGCCACCCTCCCCCCTGCTCACTACACTCCTCAGCACCATTTACTCCTTTGTGGCACTTGTCACACCGAGCATTTTACAGGCATTTACGGGATTGATTCTGTCTTCCCCACTCGATTAGAAACTCCCGTTGGCAGACACCATACTTTTGGCTCAGTAAATATGTGTTGCTTGAAAATCACAAGATGGAGGTGTGGCTGTGCGATCAGTGCTAAGGCACAGGGTGTGTTTCCTCTAGGCTGACGCCCCCAACCCATCCCTCATCCCTGAGACCGATGCTGTGGGTGTGACCGTCGTCCTCATCACCTGCACCTACCATGGACAGGAGTTCATCCGTGTGGGCTACTACGTCAACAACGAATACCCCAGTCCCGAGCTGCGGGAGAACCCACCCCTGAAGCCAGACTTCTCTCAGGTGGGACCTGTCTCTGCACTTCCTGCTTCGGACAGGCTGGCTCCTTTGCACCTGGGGGAGTTGAGGCATTGGAACTGGGAGCCAAGGTCACTTCTTAAGGTTTTCAAGTCATGCTCAGATCTTGCAGCTCCAGACGAGAACCAGAGAGAGAAAGGTCTTTGTTTCTCAGAAGCATGCCTCACAGAATTGAGATTAGATAGGTCTCAGCCCTAAGTCATGGTATATAGGCGCTCCTTGGAGTTCTACCCATAGTTGCTGATGGTGACGGAATAAGCAAGCTCTGTTCTTCCTGGCCTTGGGGCAAGGGCTGGGGGTGCCCCAGCTCCGTGGGAGTAATGACAGGGCATGCTGACAAGGATTGACGTTCCTCTTTCTGCCCTAGCTCCAGAGGAACATCTTGGCCTCGAACCCCCGAGTGACCCGCTTCCACATCAACTGGGATAACAACATGGACAGGCTAGAGGCCATAGAGAACCAGGACCCTGCCCTGGGCTGTGGCCTCCCCTTCAGCTGTGCTCCCATCAAGGGCTTGGGTCTCCCTGGCTGCATCCCCGGCCTCGTCCCTGAGAATTCCATGGACTGCATCTAACTGCGGGAATCCAGGCCCTACCTGGGCCCCGCCAGGACTGTGGCCAGTCTCCTAGCACATCTGGAGAGGGCAGCTGGGCCTCCCGGACAATCCCATGGAGGCCATCTGGAAGACTTTGGGGCCATCAACTATACCTAGGCCAGTCAGACATGGCTCTGAGGAAGGAGCAGGCCTCAGGTCTCTCCCAACCCTGACCCAGAAGGATCATCTTACCTCTACTGCCCAGACCTGTAAGAAGCAGGTACTTCAGTTTTTAATTCTTTGGGACTTGTGTTTTTTCTCTCTTCCACACACACTATAAATTCCACCTGCAGGCCTTTGTGCCATCATGCTCCTTTGAGTACCATTGACCCAGAGCTCTTCCCACAGACTTCCCTGGCCTGCCTTGAGGCTTTCTTGGTCAATGCCTGGCAAGGCTCCAGCCCTGTTGAGCCAAAGGTTCTGTCATTCCTGTCCCTTCCCAAACATCGGAGCAAATACACCCAGCTTTTTGGAGTCACAGGCAAGGAATCTTGGTTAGAAGGTACACTTAGACACAATTTCTGTCTTTCTCCCAGGACAGTTTTTAAGTCTTTTTAATCCAACAGCCTCTGGAAAACTCTGTTCCCAAAGGCGTTCTCAGCAGGATGCTGAGGAATGATGGTTGACTCTCCTCTCAATCACAACCACCTTCCCGTCATCTCCTAACTGGATCTGGCTTTCCCTGGAGGCTGCCATGGTGGGAAGATGGCATGCTGGAGGAGTCTGCTTTGCTCAGTCTGCCTCAGTGTTGGCATCAGGGCCCCTCTGCCTGCCTTGATCTGCCCTCTGCGAAGACCTCGTGCTCTTGCGGGCACAAGAAACCATAGGGACCCTGAAAACCTCTCCCCTGCCATGCTCCCCGCGACGCCCCGTTCCCTTGCTGCTATGTGGATGCTATTGTGATTACAGTTTGTATGTTAAAGGGTTTTTATATTAAATATGTTTGGTTGATCTAAAAATAAAAAGCACTTCATCTAGACTGATTCTGCTTTTGTCTTAAGTGTGCCGAGGCAGATTTATCCATCTCTCCTCATGATGTGGTGAGGGGGCTCTAGCCCCAGCCAGTGGGATGACTGCCCTTTGTCCCTTTGCTCAGCTTCTTACCCTAGTCTTAATTGGTTACATAATTGTACTCCAGACTGAGGTTCAGGGAGGGGTTTTTCTTTGTCAAAAGTTAAGCAACCCAGCTGTTCTGGATAGAGCATAACAGTGATTTTTTAGACTTTGACCTTGACCCACAGGAAGAAATTAACATCATGCTCCAAGGACACACACAGCAACACTTTTATTAAATTTTACTTAGCCTAACTTTGTAACCGCACAGCCCAGAGAAGACTGGTTTGGCTGGTCAACCATTTCCCCGTAATTCACAGAAGTGCCCTGACTCTTCCCTCCCAGAAACATATGGACCTAGGGACATGGGTGGGGTGCCGACAGCTGCTAGAGAGGGTGCCGATTGTATAAATCTATAGGCAGAACAGCCAATTGGCTTGTAGACCTGAGACCAGCTAGCCCTTGAGTCAAGATAGCTGGCTCATCTGGCCCCCTGCTCCCCTTGGCAAGTTCTGTTTGGGTCTTCTACTTCAGTGGTTCTCAACTGGGGGCACTTTGCCCCCCGGGGCACGTTTAACAATGTCTGAGATGGTTTTGGTGGAGAAGAGGCAGGTCCTACTGGCATCCAGTGGGTAGAGATGGGATGCTGGCTAAAACTATAGCGAACCCCCAGGACCGTCCCTCTCCCCAACAAAGAATGACCCTGCCCCAAATGTCAGTAGTGTGGCAGTGAGAAACCGACCTCAGGCTGTGTTTTAAAAGGGCATCCAGGGGTGCCTGACTGGCTCAGTGGGTGGAGCATGCGATTCTTGATCTTGGGGTTGTTAAGTTGGAGCAGCACATTGGATGTAGAGACTACTTAAAATCTTTAAAAATAAAAGAGCACCCAGAAAAAAAGAGTCATCTTATTGCTCTGGAGGGCAGCTTCCCTTTGTGTTGCCCAAAGGGCATCCCCAGGCTGGCTGTGCCCCAGATTCCTCATCTGTGAAATGGGAGTGATGGTAATAGTACCTCCGTGATAGGAATGTGGCGCAGTGTACTTAACAAGTGCCAGCTGACACGCACAAGCCCAGAGTGGATGCCCAGCAAAGCGATGGACACAGAGCCCCCTCCCAACTACCCCTTGCTCCCTGGGCCCAGCATCCTCCTGAAGCTCTGGCTGTGGCTGGAGGAGACCTAAAAGGCTCCTCGGCCCGTACCCTGCTATCCTGCGCCAGGCCTTACGAATGACGACTGCCGGAGGCCCGGCGACCTCTGACCCGAGGCGCCCGTCGCGCCCCTCCCCCGCTGGCAGGTGGACGGCGGCTGCGCCAGGAGGGTGGGGGGGAGGCCCTGGCGCCAACCTTAGCTGGCCGGCAGCCGCTGCCGCACTAAGCGGAGGCGGGGGACTGCGGCGCGTACGGGGGCCAGGCGGGCGCCCGCCTGGACCGCCTCCTGGGCCTCGGAGCGCGGCGCGGCCACCCGTCTGCCTCCGCCGCCCCGCCCGGCCGGCCAGAGCAGTAGGCTGCATCTCCGCCCCGCCCTCTCACCCCGGGATTGACACTGAATGTTCTGCGGGGGGGTTGGCCGGACAGCGCGCCTCCGCCAATTGGCGGCCTCGCTGGGCGGGCCAGGGGCCCTGTCGCAAACCTTGACCAGTCAGGTGCGCCGGCCCGCCCAGCTGAGGCCTCGCGAGCTCGCGAGTGGCCGGGAGTCCGCGGCACGCGTCACGGAGCCGAGGGCCTATGGTGGCTCGGGAGGGTTGCGGAGGACCAATGGGCGGCGGCGCGGCCCCGTCACTCCGGACGGCCTAGGCCAATGAGCGGCGGGCTGCGGGGGCGTCACGGACAGCAGCAGCGGACTTGGGCTGAGGTTCCCGGGCGGGCGGGCGCGGAGAGACGCGGGAAGCAGGGGCTGGGCGGGGGTCGCGGCGCCGCAGCCAGCGCAGCCAACCCTAGGGGCCGCCGCCGCCGCCCAGCGCGCTCCTGGGCCGCCGGCCGCCGCCAGCACCCGCCGCGCCGCAGCTCCGGGACCGGCCCCGGCCGCCGTCGCCGTGATGGGCAACGCCGCAGCCGCCAAGAAGGGCAGCGAGCAGGAGAGCGGTGAGTGCCCGGGCCATGACCCCGATCCCGGTCCCGCGCTGCCAGCCCCCGCCCTGTCCATCACCGCCTGGCCCCTCCCCCTACGCGCCCCCCCACTTCTCTTTGCTCATCCCCCCCCCCAGTGCCCCTTCCCCCTGCCTGTCCAAGGTTGGGGCCCAGAGCCCGCAGAAGACCCCCTAGGGGCCCCCTTGCCAAAGGCCACCCCCCACTGCAAAGACTGTGCCCCCCCACACCCAGCTGTCACTGCCAACCAAGGCACGTATGACCGCTGGGGCCCCACATGGGGCCTTGTCACCACCCCACCCTCTCCTTTCCTGGCCCCTCTTCCCAGATTCTAATCCCCCCATTTCCTCACTCACCTCTCCCACTGATGGAATCCACTGCCAGACCCCGACCCAGGCTTCTGTCAGTTTGGGAGTGCTGTGGGGTCTGCCTCCACCCCGAAGGGACCTTGGCCACTTAGTGACCACACCCCTCCCCCCTCCAGCCCCCGCCATCTTTCTCCTGCCCTTCCCCTTTTCACCTTATCACAGCCCCCCTCCAAACCCACGCTGCCCCCCTTAAGCATTTCCCAGAGCCTCCTCCAGCATTGTTTTTCCCTTCTGTGTCACTTGGCATGGGGGACAGGATCTTTCTGGGTCCCTCTGCCCCTCTCTCATCTTGTCACTCTGTCACTCTGCCTCTCTGCCCGTGTTCCCTCCTCCAAGCAAATGTCTGTCCCTGGCTGAGGTAGCAGACTGTTTATGAACCTAGAGAACTGCTTCAGTGCTTCCAAAGCCAAGTTTGAGCCTGTCTTGCTGGGATTCATTGCATCTTCTTTCCTGGGTTTGGGGTGGGGGGGCGGCAGCAGAGCTCCTTCCCATCTCCTGCTATGCAGTGAGCTCTAGGCTTCTTGGAGTGCCCCTAAATAAATGCTTGTTTCACAACTGAGGCTCCGTCATTCACCCAGTCCCCAGGGCTTCTTCACCCTCTCCTGGCCCAGGATGAAAAGTGGGGTATGAAGTGTCTGGGTTTAGCAGGGCTCATTCAGCTTGAGCTGGGATGGTGAGAATGGGGACTTGAGGCATGACAGTTGGGGAGAGTAGTGACTGACATCTAATGACTTGCTTTGCCAAGGGACAAATAGATTCTGATCATTCCCAGGGCTCAGCCAGAGAGAGGCCTGTTTCCCCCTCAGCCCCCAAATTATGTTGGTGTTGGCCTTTTCCAGCCAGAGAGATCTGTATCTGGAAATGGCTTCAGAAATGGCCTCAAGCCCCTTCCTCAGTTCCCCCGGGTCTTAAATTGTCATCACTCCAGACCTATAGCTGGACCTTAGCTAGGATCCCCTTCCAGTTACCCAGAAATAGAGCTGAAAAGGGAGGCCATGTCCAAATACGCCCTTCCCAGTTTCTGATCTCAGACCCCAGCATCTGAGTCCTTTGAATACCCTGTCCCAGAAAGATGCAGGCATGAAACCCAGGAAACTTTATTCCCACACGGATTCAAATGGCAGAACTGAGAATCATCAAGCAGCCATGGGAAGGCATGACATGTCACCGATGGGCGGGGGACAGGGAGGCAAGTGCCTGTAGCTGAGCACTTGATGACAGAGGAGCAGGTGGGTAGTGACCAAAAAAGGTCTGGGCATGAGCTTGGAGGGGACTAGGCAGAGGGGGAGGGGCTGGGGCCCCCAGCAGGTGAGGCTGGCTGGGAGGTGGAAGGTGGAGGCAAGTAGCTATATATTGCAGTAGCTCAGCTGAAAGTTGGGGAGATGACATCGTCCTGGAAAACTTTCAAGGCATATCAAACACATGCAGAGTGGGGCGGAAAGCCGCACAGGGAAAAGGATCCCCGAGAGAAAGATCAGAGAGGCTCTGGAAGGAACCGCTCATTTTCCCAGAACACAGGCCAGACACCCAGAAGTGGACTATCACAATGAAACAGAGCTACTGTTTATTGGGCATCTAGGACGTGCCAGGCTAAACGGTCTCCATAGATCCATCTGCTGGAGTGATTTTCATAGCAGAGTTTTCTCCAAATTTTCCAAACACGCTGTCTGAGTTTGACACAGACTTTGTCAAAGAGGCAGGATTCACATCCAGATCCACTTACCAGCCAGTTCGTAGACTCCAGAATTTCCCGACCCAGACATTCTTAAGCTGCCTCCTTGATTTTTACTCTCTTCACTTATATTTTCTTAATTTAAAATAATAAAGTTGTGACCCACTTTTGTTCAGATGTAAAGTTTGATCTGTCCTGAGCAATAATATAAATGAAATCAGGAGATTGCTGTGCTAGTCATATTCTCTCTGATACACATTAAAATACAATGTAACTGAAAAAGTGAAACATCCCTAAAATCATTTCGTGCCCTGCGGGTGGGACCCATGTCACACTTCGGGAAATGCCCCAAGCTGTACATCCTTCCAGAGGCTTACAGGGGCTCTTAGAAGAGGAAATAGGATGAGAGAGGAAGCCACTTTGTGCCTCGGAGCTCTGAGTCCAAAAGGACGAAACTAGACAAAATCCGCCGTCTTGTAACCAGGGTGCGGTGGGGGTGGGGGCGGGGGCAGTAGCCAGGCCAGCCTGCAGGGGGCACCTGAATTTCATCTGCCAGCTTTCAGCCTGACCTGGGTCAGGAAAACGCCCAAGCCATAGTAGACACCAGTCGGGCATCCTGCAGCCCCCTGTGCCCCTGTCTCCATGGCAGGACACAGTGTCAGCTTCCTCCCAGGAGGGCAGGGATCGAGAACAAGCCCTGGTGGGGTGGGGTGGGAGAAATCTTAACCCAAAGATGCCAAAGCCATTAGCAGGGGCCCGGGGAAGATGCTGAGAGAACATATAAAGAAGACCGAGCCCTGGGCTCTGAGCAAGCTGGAGAACTGGGAGAAGGCCTCCCAAGAGGCCTGGGGACGGGCGGCCAAGTGGAGCTCAGGCCTTGGCTGGCACTGGCCGAAGGCACCCCTGGGAGCTGGCCCACAGAAGGGGCGGGACTGGTGAAAGGGAGCCCCCAGATACCCCTCCAGGTCCCAGGGACAAGCAGATCCAGGCTCTGTGAGAAGCGCCCCCAGGAGGTCCCTGGATAGGAGAATGGAGGCCCTCTGACACCCTACAGAAGCCTGTCTGAGAGCAGCAAGCACCTTCTGTGCATTGGCAGTTGTATGGGTGCCCAAGAGGGTCCTGCCAAGGCAGCTTTTCCCTTATCCCGGTCAGACCTACAGAAGCTTGAGGGTCCTATCTGTCCCTTCCCTGGACCCATTGGTCCCTAAGTTGGCTTCTCTTCCTGCCACCCCCCCACAACTCCCTGCCTCCCCCTATAGACGGAGTATTGGGGATGGACAGCCAAGCTGGTACAGCAGGTCTCATGAGCCTTCCCAGCCACCGTAGTCTTGGTGCCCTGAGAGGAAGACAGTGATGGCTTCCAACCCCAACGATGGTGAGGATGAGCCCTGTTGCTATAGCAACTTCCCAGGCACTCTCTGCCCCTCAAGCCAGGGAAGGGCTGCAGTGGGGTGTCGGGAACAGGTGGAGAGGAGGAGTCTGTAGACCCTTGGCTAGCCCTGGAAACCCCCCTGACTAACATCCCTGAGCTTGGGGGCCTGGGGAAAAGCAGAGGTATGGGTGGCCCCATTCAGACAAGGGGGGCATGTTCCACCCAGAGCGGGGGTCCCGCTCAATTTTAGTATATGTGCTGCCAAAGCGAGTACAGGGGGTCCAGCTCAGACCAAGGCGGTGGGGTGGCCCAGCCCAATGTTGTGTTAAACTCAGAATGGGGGTTGGTTCAGCTCAGTGGTGGAGTCAGGTCATAGTGGATGATGGTTCAGTACAGAATGGGTGTCCATCCGGCTGGGGAGCGATCCAGTCCAGAATAGGGGTCCCATCCATCCGTGTCCCAGACAAACAGGTTTCAGAGGGCTGAGTGTGCTGAGGTTGTTGTGTGGGGTGTCTGAGGCTGGGCTCCTGCCTCCTGCTGTGGCCCTGGCTTTTTGAGGGGTGTCTGAGGTTCCCTCTGTTAGCCCAAATCGAATCCCGGCCAGAGTGGAGGCTGGCAACCACCCCTCCATCCCTCGGGGGAGACATGGCAGGGGGGTGGGTTTCATAAGCCAGCAGCTGGCTGGGTTTCCCTTCTCTGCCCCTTCCTGTTGTCAGCAGGGGCCACGGGTGCTGGGCACTTTCAGAGAAGCTGCCACTGACCCTCCACTTTATTTGGGATGTGGAAAGAAGGAGGAAGATGGTCAAGGCTGCCTCCCCCTCCCCCACCCCTAGGTTTAGCCTTTCGTTTCCGGTTGGACTTTCATGGCTGAAAGCAGAGCCAAGCACAGGGCAAGGTTTGACAGAGGCCAAGGACATCCCGCGATGTTAGTCCCCTCTCTGCCCCCACATAGGAGCAAGACAAATCCAGATATACCCATTTTTCTCTTGGGGTAACAGGATTTGGGGGCTCCAGTTTCAAAGAGGACTTAGGGGAGGAGATAGGGTGGCTCTTGCGCCCACCCCCACCGCTTCTTTCTCTCCATCTGCTCTTTCAGCTAATTAACGGGGCTCTGGGGCCTCTTTGGCCCCAGGGAGCCCCTTGCTGCTGCCTGGGCCTGAACCTTAACTCCTTCTCCTCTGCCCAGTGGGCACTGCCCTGGGCACATCCGGTGCCATCCTCTGGGTAGTTCAGCACCCACTGAGGATGGCAGGACCTGGCATCTTGGGAGCAGTGAAGTCCCTGGAACAGGAAGTTAGCTTTAGCACTCCACCCCTGGGGCAGCCAGGCCAGCCAGAAGGGACATCCTCAGGAGGGCCTTCGCAAACCTTGGCCAGCCGGGAGCAGGTACCTTTAAATGCTTCCCTGGCAACCGGCTCCTCCTCCCTGGTCCCCTGAGGCCCTTCAGAGGAAGCCAGCTCAGAGGCCTTGCGTGTTCCTGGTTTCCCTGCAAAGGGAGGATTCCAGGGAGGGCTCAGGGCAGCCTGGGATGGATGTGGGGTCAGGCAGTGGCCAGGGCAGTGACTCGGAGACCACCTTCCAGCTGTGGCTGCAGCTGCTTCTCTGGGCCCACCTGACTCTCCGTTTCCTGGGCTACCTGCACCACACCTTCTGGGCGTGTAAGCCGCGGCCAGCACCCTGAGCCTCCCTGGCCGGGGTATATGGGTCCCACGTCACCCTATCCCTCTCCACCCCCCCCCCCATTGCATCCTCTGCTGGAAGACATATGAAGCAGAGGTGAGTATGGGGGCTCCTGGCTGGGGCCCCCCCATCATTATCCCTCTTTATCTGCCCACTCCTTCTGGCACTGTCCCCCCCTCCCCACTATGCCCAAATCTGGCAAACCGATGGCACCAGAGGGGACACAGTTTGGGCCCTTTAGTATTTTGAGAGTCTAGAGAAGAGCTGTACTAGGACCAAGGCACCCATGGAGCCTCTCAGTGGGGTACCAGCAGACAGCCAGAGGCAGGCCCACTAAGTCAGGAAAAAGCAGAATATGGTAGTTCTCAGGGAGGGCTGAGAGCAAACAGGAAAGCAGGACCAGGCATTCTCCTGGATTCTTCCCACACCCCTTCCTTTGCCTTGTTAGGTGGGCAAAGGTGAAGTCCCAAGAGGGTACCCTCTCCCCCGCCACCTTCATCCTGAATTCAGCGTGTATGTTTGGAGGTTTCCAAGGAAGGTGTTATGCATCAAAAAAGATTCTGCTAGGGAAAGCACTGGATTTGGTGCAGCCCCCAGGCTCAGAGAGGTCTCAAGCAGTTGATGGCCCAGCCAGGTACCAGCCTAGGACTCGTGGCCATTCCTTGACTACCCCCTCTCTGCCCAGTCACTCATTTTAGGGCTTTCCTGGCCAACAGTCTCTCCTCTGTCTGCCGTTCCTGCAACCCCATGGAAGGTTCTTCCCTCCAAACGCTGAGGGGAGTCTTGGGAACGGTGGGAGTGGTGGCCACCCACGAGGCTGTGTGGGATGCCTGGCGCTGTGTCTGGGTAGTTCGGGCAGATGACAGACGAGGCCAAAGTACAAGTGCGCAGGACCCCTCAGGGTGGCAGGTGTCAAGGGGTAGAAGACAGCTCCGTCTGCGAGCCACCCTGTGCACTGCCACCAGGCGGGAGCGAAGCAGTTAATCTTGTGGGCATTGAGATCCGGCAGGCCACCTCAGGCCTGGTCAGTCTTCCCATCTGTACAAGGAGAGGAACAGCAGGTCTGACCCATTAGGGTAGGAATTAAGCACAGAAAGCATTCAGCACAGGACTGGCACACAGGAAGGGTCTCTGAACAGCGTGCCTGGCCCCAGGGGGTGGTTACAAGGACTGGTCTGTAATGAAAGAATCCACCAAGCTGTACATTTAGAGTTTGAAAGGTCAGTGTACTCCCCACGCCCTATATTTTATACCTCAGTTTTTAGAAATACCTAAAAGCAAAATCAGTAATTGCCATTTATATCACATTAACCCCATACCAGCCACTGTCCAACCCCTTTTGCCAAGATTAATTCATTCAGTCCTCACAACCACCCTACCAGGTCGTTACTAGTGTTAACCCCATTTTACAGATGAGGAAAATTGAGGTCAGGTCAGTTGCCTGAGGTTGCACCGCTCATCAGAGACCAGGCTGGGATTTGAACTTCATCTTGTCCCAGAGTTCTGGCCCCTAACTGCTTTGCTGGGCTCCTTCTCGGCCTTGGCAAGAATGCCTGTTTTCAAGCCTCAGTTTCCTAGGGCGTTAAATGGGAAGAATGGATAAAAGGCGAACCAAGTGAGCAGACCCAGGGTCCACCAGGAGGTCTTCACCATTAGCCGGATGGTGATGTTCGCCTTGGGGTGCTGAAGGGCCCGTGGGGTGTGGACATCGGGTAAGGCTCCCCTTGAACCAGCTCTGGAGGAAGGACCCCTGGACTGGCAAAGGCGGGAATGGGGCCAGCTGGGGGCCAAGGCAACAGCTGAGCCCCCCAAGGGCGCCTGCTACCCGAGCCCCAGAGGCCTCCACCCAGGGCCCGGCCTCCCCAGAGAAGGGGTTGGAGGAGCAGCCAAATCCCCAGGCTATAAATATCTTGGCTGGCGTCGGCCCTGGCCATGGAATGTCGGTCAGAACTGGGGCAAGTGGGGGTGGGCTGGCCTGGGCGTCACTCTCTGTACCCCTAAGAGTAACCCCCGAGTCACCTTGCACCTCATTTGGGACAGAGTTGAGGCTGTATCTCACTTCTCTGAGTAAAGGGGGCCCAGGCCCCCAGCCCAGATCAGGGCCCCCCAAAGCTGCCTTCCAGCTCAGCCAGGGCACCTGAAGCTACTGGGAAAAGGTCAGTCTCTAGGTTGAGACAGCTACACCCCACTTTGCACAAATGGGCATCTCCCCAGGAAGAGCCGAGGCCCACCCCAATAAGATGGGGTCTCTAACTAACACTCTCTCTCTTTTCCTTTCAGTGAAAGAGTTCTTAGCCAAAGCCAAAGAAGATTTTCTTAAAAAATGGGAAAATCCTGCTCAGGTAGGCCCCCTGGATTCAGAGCCCTGAGAGGGGTGAGCTGATGGCCCCCCGCCCTCCAGCTGTGTCCCTGTAACATGGTGAGGACTTTTAGGGCCCTGTAGAGGGCTCCAGACCTGACCCCAATTGCTCCCTAGATGCCAGTGGGGGCTCCTGGACAGAGGCACCCAATCACCCACTGGCACGCACCCCCACCCCACCACCCCCTTCCACCTGGTGGCCCCTGCCCCCCACGCAGCTGCCAGCAGTCCCTGGGCCCCGGGCCAGGGCCGGATCTGGCCCCTGCCACCCGCCTTAAGGAATGTGTCCTTCCCCATCTTGTTTTTCCACCCCCTGTCCTCAGCCCATCATTCCACCCCCTCCCCAGAGCCCCCTCTGCTGGTGGCAGAGGGCATGCCCTGGACCTTGGCCTTCCCCCACTTGGAGGGGGTCCCTGACCCTCCCAACCCCTCTGCCCACAGAATACAGCCCATTTGGATCAGTTTGAACGGATCAAGACCCTCGGCACGGGCTCCTTTGGGCGAGTGATGCTGGTGAAGCACAAGGAGACCGGGAACCACTTTGCCATGAAGATCCTCGACAAACAGAAGGTAAGCACCGGCCAGGAGGCCACCGTCCCCCCGACCAGGCCTTGGTTCAGACTCTTCCCACTGCCTGAGTGGTCTTCCTGTCTGTCATTCACCAACTATTTCCTGAGCCTTCATAATGTGCCAGACCCGAGGTTCAGAAATGCCCATGCTGCCTTCATGAAGCTTCCCCTCCAGACCAGCCACTGATGGGAGTCCAGGCAGTGGACACGGGTTCAGACACCTAGCCTGTATCAAGGAAGCCAGAAGTCTTCCTGGGGAAAGTACTGGATTTATACAGACTTGACTTTTTTCTTTTTTTTTTTTTTTAATTTTTTTTTTATTTATCTATTAGATAGCAAGAGAGAGCACAAGTAGGGGTGGGGGGGTGGGAGAGGGAGAGGGATAAGCAGACTCCCCACTGAGCAGGGAGCCTGATGCGGGGCTCAATGCGGGGCTCGATCCCAGGACCCTGGAATCACAACCGGAGCCAAAGGCAGATACTTAACCAGCTGAGCCACCCAGGCGCCCCACACAGACCGACCAACCTACCTTTCTCTCTCTTTCTTTCTCTTTCTTTCTTTTTCTTTCTTTCTTTCTCTTTCTTTTTCTTTCTTTCTTTCTTTCTTTCTTTCTTTCTTTCTTTTTCTTTCTTTCTTTCTTTCTTTTTCTTTCATTCGTTCTTTTTTTCTTTCTATTTTATTTATTTATTTGAGACAGAGAGAGGGGGCACAAGTGGGGAGGAGGGTTAGAGGGAGAAACAGACTCCCCACTGAGCAGGGAGCCCGACGCAGGGCTCAGTCCCAGGACCCTAGGATCATGACCCGAGCCAAAGGCAGACACTCAACTGACCGAGCCACCTAGGCGCCCCACAGACCTTATTTCTGTAAATATATTTGAGACCCTACTTTATGCCAGGTGCTGCTGTAAGTTAGCACTGTTCAACAGAAAGGTAATACAAGCCATATATGGTTTTAAATTTTGTAGAACACCCCCCTTTAAAAAGTAAAAAGAAACAGGTAGAATTAATTTCAGCAATGTGCTCTAATTAAGCCAGTATATGTACAATATTATAATTTCAACATATGTAACCAGTGTAAAAATACCATTAATGAGACATCTCATTTTTTTTTTCTGTATTAAGTCTTCAGAATCCAGTATGTATTTTACACTTACATCTCTGTTCAGATGTTCAGTTTTCGCTAGAAAAACAAGAAAAAGCAGAGAGGTTGGAAAAGCAGATTCACATAGCCCGCGTTTGTTCCATTCAGGCTTAAAAGTCACCCAGTAACTGCCTCGAGTGTTCGTTTTTAAATTTTCATTTTTTTTTTAAGATTTTATTTATTTGAGAGAGAGAGACATAGCGAGAGAGGGAACACAAGCAGGGGGAGGGGGAGAGGGAGAAGCAGGCTTCCCATGGAGCAGGGAGCCCGATGCGGGACTCGATCCCAGGACCCTGGGATCATGACCTGAGCCGAAGGCAGACGCTTAACAACTGAGCCACCCAGGCGCCCATAAATTTTCCTCATTTTAGAAACTTAAAATTTTAAACTCGGTTCCCCAGGCAACTAGCCACATCTCGAGTGCTCAGCAGCTGTGTACATGGCTAGTGTGGACCCACTGGACAGTGCAGGTGTAGACCCGGAGCATACAGCTGTGAGCAAAGCGGGAAAAGCCCTAGCACAGCAGATCAGAGCTGACCGAGGGGCCAGCCTGCCTGCGTGTGACATGCGGGCCTGACACTGACTAGCTGTGGGTGACCTTGGGCAAGTCACTTCCCTTCTCTGCATCTGGGTCTTCCAAAATGCCATGCTCACGGCGCATAGCCCTCAGGGCTCTTGTCACTATGTGTGAGGCACCTGCTGGGGACAGCTGAGGAAGAATCAGCGTGGGGTTTGACTGGCTGTGGGGAGGGTGCTCTGGATGCAGGGAAAGTATTTCTAAACATCTCTTAGGCACCACTCTTGCTTGTCTTTTCGGTTTCAGCTTAGCTGCCCCTTCCTCCAGGAAGCCTTCTCTGACTCCCCCGTCCCCCTGACTTTACCAGGCCCCTTACCTGGGCATCCGCAGGCCTCGAGCTTCCCCCCACCATGGCTCTGACCCTTCTGGGCCATGAGGCTTGGTGACTCGTGTTCTTGCCCTGAACTGCATGCCTTGCAGGGACAGGCAGCTTCTGCCTTCTCTGTATGTCCTCAGCATCCAGCCCAAGGCTCTACAGGCTGTGGGCACTCAAAGGAACCAGCCCAGCCCAGGGGGTTGCTTCTGGGCATCGGGAAGAGGAGGACCCTCTCAGACCCTCTCTTACCTTCCTTCCCACCCCCACAGGTGGTGAAGCTGAAACAGATCGAGCATACCCTGAACGAAAAGCGCATTCTGCAAGCGGTCAACTTTCCGTTCCTCGTCAAACTCGAGTTCTCCTTCAAGGTGGGGTCCCAGCGCTCGGGGGCCGGGGCCACTGCTAGGTGGTACAGCCTCGGGGCTCCCAGGGCTCAGGTGGGGGCCAAGGACAAGCAGTGGCTGCCCGAGGAGGCAGGCCCCCTAACAGGAAAGGAGGAGAGCCCCAGAGGAGGGATGCTGGGGGCAGGAGTCAGCTTGCAACTCTGGTGGACCCGTGATCAACTCCTGGGCCCACCAGTTTCTAGCTTGAGAACCTGGGGCAGATCACCCTACCTGGCTGACATCCCTCCAAACCACCTCTCCATTTTACAGCAAAGCGCCTGACGCACGCACGACTCTAGGCCCAAACGGCGCCACGCAGCCTGGATTCAAAGCGCAGCTCTGCGCTCCTCCAGGCTGTGTCACGCCGGTGCAGGACTTCACTGCCGAGAGCCTCAGTTTCCTTGTCTATAAAGTGGGGATCCCAACACTCCCCACCTAATGGGGTGGCCGTGACCGTTCCGAGCACAACGTGAGCACCCTCCGTGAGCTATTTTGGGTGTTGTCCTAAGCTGTGACCACAAGATCTGGGGAAAGCCATTCGAAGCCTGAGACCCAGACAGTCACAAGGGCCCCGTGCCTGGTTTAAAGCTCAGCTGCTGCCATCCTAAAAGTTGTAATAATTTTTTTTTAACAAGGGGCTTCACATTTTTATTCTGGGGCCCCACAAATTCTGTAGCCCATCCTGGGCCCGTTTTGCAGGTGACAAAACTGTGACCTCAAGCTTCAGTCAAGACAGTCGCAGACGTGAGATGCCCCAGAATCCTCTCCCCAGCCCAGGCACACTGGCTGGGCCCCTCCCACCCCACCTGCTGGCCCTCACTTTCACCCCCTGTGAGCAGGATCCCAGCTGCCCCTTCTTCGTGGGCGGAAGGAAATGAGCCAGGAGGCTCAGGGAGGACAGCGACTGGCACTGCGAACAGGCTTCGTATGGGAGCCAAGATTGTTGTTGTCGCTTTATTCTGGAACACCTACCATGTAAAGGCACCAGGCCTTCAGATGGGCCCCTGATCAGCCGCTGTTTCCCATAGGACAACTCGAATTTATACATGGTCATGGAGTATGTGCCTGGCGGGGAGATGTTCTCGCACCTGCGGCGGATCGGAAGGTTCAGGTGAGCTGGCCAGCCCCTGCCACAATGGGCCCGGGTGTGCCCACAGGTGTCGTCACATGACCAAGCCATCTGGGAGGTGAAGTGGGCTCTCCAAGTCTGTCTGGGTTCTTGTTGCCCCTGAGCCGAGGAATCTGTGATTTCTCAGCCCCCACAAAACAGAAGAAGCACGGTGACTTTGGTCTCACTGTTTTAAGTTGGCAGTTTTAAAATTCATGCTATCATTTACCTTAGTTATGTAGATATGTGCTTTACATACGACAGAACGCACAGGAGCTTAACGTTTTGGCATTTGCATACACTTGTGAAACCACCACCCAAAATACCATAGAGAACATTTCCATCACCCCAGAAAATCCCCTCGAACCCCATTCTTGGCAAATTGCCGCCCTGAAGAAAGCAGTTGTCCTTTCTGGTTTCAAACACCATAAATGTGTTTGGTCTGGGTTTGGGCTGGATATAAATGGAATCACACCGTTTATATTCTTCTGTTCCTTTCTTCTCTTGCTTCACATAATCATCTTGACATCTAGCCACACTGTTGAGTGTATTCATCGTTTTTCCTGGCAGTGGTGTTGGGTACGATTCCGTTGTATGAAGCTAACCACAGTCTGATTGTGTTCCTCTGTTGATGGACATGCGGGTTCCTTCCCATGTGGGACCATATACGAAGAAGTCTGCTCTGCTTATATGTTTGGGGTGGCTCTGAAGGGCCCAGCTGCTAGACCATTTGGCGGTGGGCAGGTCATGCTGGGCATAACCACCCGCACTCACCTGTCCCCTCCCCAATTGTCCCAACTAGTGAACCACATGCCCGCTTCTACGCGGCCCAGATCGTCCTGACCTTCGAGTACCTGCACTCACTTGACCTCATCTACCGGGACCTGAAGCCGGAGAACCTCCTCATTGACCAGCAGGGCTACATTCAGGTGCCCACCAGGACGGGCAAGGGGCAGGCCCAGGCGGCCATGGGCTGGATCCTCCCCCTCCCTGTCTCCTTCCTGGCCAACAGCCCCTTCTTGTATCTGCAGGTGACAGACTTCGGTTTTGCCAAGCGTGTAAAAGGCCGCACCTGGACCTTATGTGGGACCCCTGAGTACCTGGCCCCGGAGATCATCCTGAGCAAAGTAGGCACCTCCCCGCCCATCCCACTGCCCTGAGGTCTACTCCACCTGCACCCCCTCCTCACCCTCCTCTCTTCACACCGTACCCCCTGCCTCTCCCTCTAGGGCTACAACAAGGCTGTGGACTGGTGGGCCCTGGGGGTTCTCATCTACGAGATGGCCGCTGGCTACCCGCCCTTCTTCGCTGACCAGCCCATCCAGATCTATGAGAAGATTGTCTCTGGGAAGGTGAGGCCTGGATATGGGGGCTAAGCCCCCACACAGACCCTTCCCCACCAGTTCTGCTCACCATGGAGCCCTGCATATAGTGTCAGAACAATCTAGAAGTTAAGTTAGGCCAAGCAGTGAAGCTGGGCGCACCAGCCACATGAACAGGCCAGCACCTCACACAACCTCCCTGTCTAATCCTGGACCCACACTGCTGATGCTTCCAGAACCCCAGGCCTCACCCGAACACCTTCCCTGCCCGACAGGAGACTGCTTGCCTCCGGTCATCCCACTGAGCATGAGTTTCCACAAGTTTCACAGCAGGAAGCAACCATGTGCGGTTCCCAGGTGCCACTCCAGATCCTGCAGGGTCACTTAAGGGATGCGGCCCATGCCTCCTCTCCCAAATGCAGACTTGCTAACTCTGGGGATACAGGTTGGGGTGGCAGAGCTGTCACAGAGTGCGGACATGCTCACTGCCGCACGATGCACCCTGCTCGGCTGTACTCCAGCACTTGGAAGGAGTGATGAAGCTCAGGCTTGGACAGCATCATCACAGGCCCCAAGGGCTCAGGACAGGATGGGAACCCCGCCTCTGCCCTCAGCTCACTACCTGGCTGGGAGGACCCAGCCGTCCTTCCACCTGGCCTGGGAATTAGAGAAAGCAGCTCCCAGCTCAGCCTGGGGGCGCCAACCTGGCTCCACGTCCCAGCTCAGCCACCCATTGGCTTTGAAACCTCGGGCAAGTGCCTTTGCCCTTCTGAGCCTCATCGTACCCATATGAGAACTGGGGAACCGGACACTTGCCTCTCTGAGAAATCAGCTGCAATGTGGGGTCACTAAAAAGAGAAAGACGAGGTGTCTGCCACTAGGCTGAAAAGAAATTGCAGGGAAAATGGCCCAAAGTGGGGGGGGGGGCAGAGAAAAGGAAAAAACCATAGATGGTTCTGAGGAGGAAAGAGAAGATGAGCATAACTCCCTTCTTTGTAGCATTTTACAGTTCCCACGCGCCCTCAGCGGTATTCTGTCCCTCATGCGACTCTGGGATATCTGCCCTGTGCCAGAGAGGCAGGCACAGGCCCAGAGAGGTTAAGGGCCATGGCCAAGGTCATATAGCGTGTAAGATGTAGAGCAGTGCTGGAACTTAGTTCTTGTGGCTATAAATCCAGTGACTGCAAACAAGGCTTTGGGGAAGTTTCTGGAAGAGTTGAAGTGAGCCTTAAAGAGTGGAAGAATCTTAGCTATGGAGGGTGGGGGGGGAAACAAAAACAGTCATTTCTCTCTCAACCATGAAGGTTTCAGAAGTCCCCAGACCCCGGCCGAGCTGCCTTAGGAAGCAGTAGCTAAGAATTTAAGTTCTGGGGTCCAACAGACCCAAGTTGAAGGCCCCCAGTCCCGCTCCTCTGTGTGACCTTAGGCAGGCTGTTTAACCCTTCTGAGCCGGTTTCCTCATCTCTAAAACGGGAACCATCGTCAGGTTTACCTTAGAGCAGCAGTTCCCAGGGTGGCCCCCTGTCCAGCAGCATCAGCATGGCCAAGGAACAGGCTAGACATACAGGTTCTCAGACCTCCTGAATCAGAAACTCCAGTGGGTCCAGCAAGCTTTTTTTTTTTTTTTTAATTT